GCAAAATGGCAAAGTTATAGCTTATGCCTCCAGACAGTTGAAGGTTCATGAGAAGAACTACCCAACCCAAGACTTAGAGTTGGCTGCAGTAGTATTTGCTTTGAAGATATGGTGTCATTACTTGTATGGTGTGCATGTTGATATATTCACTGATCACAAGAGTCTTCAATATGTGCTTACTCAGAAAGAGTTAAATCTCAGACAGAGGATGTGGTTGGAATTACTCAAGGATTATGACCTGAGTATTCTTTAATCCCGCACGTTGAAGTTGTGCAATTATATTTGCAGTAACATCTTGTTGAATGGTTCTCTTTTTCTCCTCCATTTGTTCCTCCATTTTCTGTATCCTTTCTTCCATTTGTTGTACTGCATCATTTGTGGTAGTTGAAACTGGTTCAGAATTGCCTGCTTTCCTTTTCAAAGAACTCTTTGTAACTCCCCGTCCATATAATCTAAGACGTCCTGGATGTTCAGGACCCATTACAGAAGAAAATGCATCAACAGACTCACTACCATCTACACTTTGTTGTTTTTCAATTTCCTCCATTTCAGCCTACAAAGCAAATTCAGTAAAAAAAATTCAAATAAACATAAATTACGATCAAATAAATGATGTAAAAGAAAGTACAAGTAGATACTATTCGTACAATTTTACTAATGGTGTCTTCATTTGTGTCCTTGTACAAACGTTCGGGGTGTCTTGTTCTTGTAACCACAAATAGCTCCTTAAGTGATACAGAAGTTTCCTTTTTTTTCTCCTTCTCACATGAAAAAATGATATTAAAAATCTATTTATAAAAACAAGTTAAAATTTGATAAAGAAGTAGAAAACACACCAAATTATTGCGGACTAAAGCAAAACTTATTTTTCCAGCAGTATGTGAATTCTTCAACTTTTTCCGATTCTTAGTATTGGTTTCAGACATTTTCTGGAAATAAATAAATCAATATCACAGCAAAAGAGAGAAAAAATCATAGTAGAAAAGAGAGAGAAAAAAATAAACTCCAACAATCATATCACAATAGAGAAAATAAATTGAAATTCCAAAATTCAATTCACCTTATGTTTATCGGAGTCCCAATATTTGAGTAGTTCCTTAAGTTGACATTCTGGAACATAAGGAGGTCGTTTTTGCCATTAGAACTTCATGACTAGTACAAGGTTTGTAACATAATTTCTTCAAATCAAATTTATGTCTTCTCCAAGCAGATCCAATTACTTCTAACACCCATTCTTTTGCATCATCAGTGATAGCATATTTCTCCTACAATTTGATTTCATTGGTAAAATATGTAAAATAACTTTAGTGATATAATTCAAATTAGTAGCTTCAAACCTGTGTATATGTCCATAAATCATCTTTTGTGTCCATATACCTCCAATCTAATATGTCTAGAGGGCAAAGAGTTGCATTCCTTGCCAATGTGCCAAGGAAGCTACTTAACTCTACAACAACATCTTTGGTTGGACCAACAGGCTGATTGTTGTTGTTCAGTAGGACCAGCTTACGATCATTTCTCCCATGTACACTTTGCATTTGTGTTGTACCTCTCGTATTTTTTTGAGTGGACAGGTCTGAAGCTATACATAATACAAGTAATTAGAAGTCATAAATGAGTTTAATAAGTTTCTAAGCTATATGTACCTTGTTCTTCGGATTGTTCGTTTATTGGAAGAGTACTTGTAGAATCTATTTGCACCTCCTCCTCTATAATTGGTTGCTCCTCTATAGTTGGTTGCTCCTCAACACATTGTTTATTTGTTTCAGCTTGTGGTGTAACTTGTTGTTTTTTTGCAATTGGTTGTTCTTTCTCAATTAACTTTAGCAAGTGCTTTTTCTCTGACCGCACAGCCTGAAGAGTTTCTTGTGTTGTCAAAAATGATCGTCTTTGTTGTACCAAGGATGATAATGTTCCAGGTTTAGCATATGTCCTTTTTTTGGTAACTTTGTTTCTTCTTGAAGGTCCTTCTTGACTCATGACTATCAAAATCTGTGTAAATATAAGATTGCACAAGTTAGAAATATTGAAGAAAAAATAAATCACTGAATCTAAACACAATCTTTTTAAATTCTCATAGCTCCTTTGATTTTTCTTTTGGGGCAGATTGACTGCAGCTTTGGCAGACGTGGGGCAGACGCATAAATACAGACATACATATAATGGGACATCACACGGTGTACCATGGGGCACATAAATATCATTAATGATGTAGATGTTTTTCACGCAAATAAAGAAACTAGTTTTCAAAAAATAACACCTAAATAATTCACCCTCTCATTACTGTTTTCGAAATCTAAATAAGATCTCTTAGAAGCTCCCAAATACGCCTAACTTATTCCGCAGAATAAACTTCAAGCCCTAAGTCCATCACTTCAGAAATTAAGTTCTTCCTTGCAACAGATTCACAACATATCAAGAAACTATATAGTTCATTGAAAAATAATTGATAAAAAGAAAAAACAAATTAAAGATATAGCATATCTCACATGTAATTCTACCACCTTTTCACATGTTAAGAAATAATTCAAAGACACGAAAATAAGAATAACCATAAGATAGACTTTCAGACAAAAACATAGCAAATCTCACATGTAAATCTACAACTTTTTCACATGTAATGAGATAATTGAAAGACATTGAACATAAGGATAACCATTACATACGAAAGGTTTTGACGCTTGGTTGATTATAGTTTCTCATCTTATTATCTAATTCATTGAGCATCCTCATGTGTCAACATGTTATTCTGCCTTCTTGACATACCAATACATATTGTATATGTAGTAATGTACTGATTTCCAATGATTTGGAATGCTTCGTTTTCATGAATACAAGTTCAAGTATACAAGTTAGCAAACTTTTTTAGTAGGCTCTTGTTGCATACCAAGAAAAGAATCAATGATCTGTATATTTTGACCTGGAGATAATAGGTGTCTAGTATTATCAGATGTACTTGTAGATATAGTTAGACTCTTAAAGATTCCATTAGATGCTTTATAGACATTGTAAATCTGCCGCCTACAATTATAGTTTCATCCATCCATCATGTCACATCCTAACCTGGGTGAGGAAGACTATGCTCTGTATGAACAGATGAACTATATACATATATACTAAACCATATGACCTAACTCTATAAGAAAAACATGTTAAAGATACAATTAGCTAGTTTAATACATAATTGTAGATACACAAAGGGCTACTAAGCCTGAATCATATGTATAACATAACTTAGTGATATCTAAATACTAAGAGACATATATGACTTAAATGCCCACACTAGTCTATATGACTTAAATGCCCACAGTAGTCTATGAAGACATTACTAGAAACTAATAACAGAATACTTATCAAGATAGGTCCATAACCTATATATACTGCACATATACATCAAAGAGTATCTACACTCAACTTGCCTCTAGATTGAAATAGGTCCATAACTTAAGTGTTTACGCAGATACCTAGTGAGGTGGTCAGCTGACTAACATGTATGCCCTCAACCTACAGTATTAAATGTAATACATGCAATAAAATGAAGCTTAAAAAAAACCTTACAAACTGAAATTTCCAGTATTGAAACAGTTTGAAGATCCAGCCTCTCAAAAAAATAAGAACAACATAGTTTACTCAATAACCTTTACCAAACTTGAGATGTAAACTTCAATACACAAATAGATTAAACTAAATAGGTAAAATAGAATAAAAATACATCTATTTCATATAAATTTACTTGTTTATTACAAAAACCCTTCAATGGAATATCCAATTTTACAGAGCAAAAACCTTTTCAACAACTTTTCAGAGGAAGTTATGAAAATCATACCTTTTTGTGAAGATGTTGGAGATGAACCCACAAATCACTTGTTGAAGTTGTCGGAGATGAGGCTCTAGTCGGAGATGACCCACTTGTTGGAGACGACCCACTCGTCGTGGTGGTGATAGTCGTTCTTTTACTAGAGACGACCTAAGATGTGTGTTAAAGATTTGATGGAACCCACAAGTTCTAGAAATGTCCTTTTAAAATTATTAGAATTTAGAATTACTTTTAAAATAAAATATAATAAAAATCGCGGGATTATAAAATCAGTGGAGGGAAAATATATTTGGGCCAAAACCGTATCAATAGCACTTTTTTTAATAAGAACCGTTCCTAAAGAATTTCCTATTGCAACGGTTTTCATAATCGTTGCAAAAAGTACCTTTGTAGCTACGGTTATGCACTAATGCAACGATTTAATTTAACAAGTGTTGTAGTAGGTCCAAGGATCTACGGCAACGGTTATAACTATTGCAACTTCTTAGTTATAGTAACAGTTACTAAACCGTTGCAAAATCACTGTTGCCGTAGGACATATTTCTAGTAGTGTGTGATGATCACCTACCTCTCATTGAGTTTGCCTACAACAAAAGTTATCACTCTAGCATCCAGATGGCTTCATATGAAGCTCTTTATGGGAGAAGATGTAGATCTCCTATTGGATGGTTTCAAGTTGGTGAAGCAGGGTTGATAGGACCATATTTAGTTCACCAAGCAATGGAGAAGGTGAAAGTGATTCAAGAGAGGTTGAAAACGGCACAGAGTCGTCAAAAATGCTACACTGATGTTAGGAGAAGGGCGTTAGAGTTTGAAGTAGATGATTGGGTATATTTGAAAGTTTCACCCATGAAGGGGGTTATGAGGTTTGGTAAGAAGGGGAAACTTAGTCCCCGGTATATTGGACCTTACCGCATAGCCAAGAGGGTTTGCAATGTTGCTTATGAGTAGGAGCTACCACAAGAATTAGCAGCGGTTCATCCGGTATTTCACATCTCCATGTTGAAGAAGTGCATAGGTGATCCTTCTTTGAACCTACTAACGGAAAGTATTAGGATCAAGTATAGCTTATCTAATGAGGAGATTCCTGTTCAGATTTTAGATCGCCAAATTCGCAAATTGAGAACAAAAGAGGTAGCCTCAGTCAAGGTCCTTTGGAGGAACCAATTTGTTGAGGAAGCTACTTGGGAAGCTGCAGCGGACATGAAGAAGAGATATCCACATCTCTTTGAATCTAGAGGAAATGCAGATCAAGGTACTAATTTCCTTATTAGTGCTCTTTAAATTATAGTGAACATATTGTTGTTGTTTGCATTGTTGCTTGTTGGGTGTTTGAGTTTGATGTTACACCCTTAGCCTAGTAAGAGTAACCTCATTCGAGGATGAATGTTCCCAAGGGGGAGATATTGGAACATCGTGCAATTTGAAATAGCTATGAAGAAGCTTGTAATTGGAATTAGTCATTTTTGGAAACATCACAAAAATCTGGAAATTTAGTTAACTATGGAAAAAAAATGAGTTTTTGGTCAACTTCACACGGTCAAAACTCCTATCTCAGGATGATTTAGGTTTATTGCCAGTTATTTTTGGAAAGCCCTTGGAATGATCTTTCCAACACCACCGAGTTTGCTCAATTTCGAGTTCGTATGAGTTAGTTATGCCCTTTGGAAGGTGGGCAGTTGGCATAGGGCAGTTTAGTCCGAATTTGTAAGGGTATTTTGGTCTTTTCCCTAACCATTTCTTTTAGTTATATTAAGGGTCTAGACTGATTTTAATTCAGTTTTTCCCTTTTAAAAGTTAGAGTTAGGGTTCTGAGTGAAGCGAGAAAGAAGAGGAGAAAGTGAAGAAGAAGCAAAGTTCGTCAAGATCGTCGTGGATTTCGTCGGGGGTGATCCCTATTAAGATATGTGAGATCATAGTGTTGGGTTGGTTCATTCCCCCACACGCCATACTTGTTTTAATTCCGAGAAAATATTGGTTGTGGTTGTGTTGTCGAAGTTTCTTGTTGGTTTGGTATGTGTTTCCGGGTGTGATTTCGAGTTGAAGCTGTTGTATATTAAGGGTTTTAATGATTCTAAATGTTTGGGGAAAGAACCTTTGTTGTTGAGAGGGTTTAGAGTTGGAGAAACCAAAGAAGAAAGTCGATTTTCGGGGGGAAATGGTGGGGCGTCGTGCCAGCCAGCCCGCACCAATAGGGGTTCTCAGAGCGCCAAGGACGCCAGTTCTCCTCATTCCTTCCCCACTTTTTCATACATGTTCCTTGGTAATGTACCTATGTTTTCTGGTTGATTTCAACACTCTGAGGTACATCTAAACATCACGAACTCATCCATAAACATGAGATCATTACCCTTGAATCCGTAATCCAATTCGAGGAAAGTTAGGATCAAAGTCAAGTGAAGTTAGATTCAAGTCTAGAAGTTAAGAAGCAAGTCAAAGCAAGTCATTCAAGTTTTTCAAGAGTCTTTATTGAACGTTTTAACTTGGTTTTAAGGCTCAAGTTTCAAGTTAAGCCAAGAGTTTAGAGTTGAGTTCAATTCTCAAAAGCTATTAGGGAACTATGTATTCCCAAAGAAGCTTATAAATGTTTTTACATTTCTGTAACGAAGGAACTATGTTTTTCCAAGAGAGCCTTTGGGCTAAGCCTTGAGCAATTATCACAAACTAAAGAAAGATGTGCTTAAAACACTTATGAGCTAAAGTATTTTTGGGAGTAGTATTGACCACCAAATTGGGGACGCGAGTTTATATTAACTCAACTTTCCATAAGAACCATGTAGCCAACATGGGATCTAACGGGTCATTCTTTTTAGATGATCACGTAAGTTAAGATAGTGGATCCACTAAGTTAAGTAAGGTCCTATATCACGGCAAGGTATAGGATGGTCCTTGGGCAACGTGATGTAAAACATTGTACCCTCACTAGGGTTCATAGTGGTGGTTGTCGGTTAAAGAATCCCCCACAAAAGTTATATTACTTCTATATAAGTAAAGTTGAGTTTGTTGTTGGTTTATCCTTAACGAACTAAGTTGTTTACAGTGTTTTACAAGCTTTATATATGTTGTATGTGTCTTCTTGCTTTATATTGAGTTTGGTTATTCATGATTCGAACAGAGCCAAGGTGAGAGTTCCTTTTGTACTCCTTTCAAGCTTAAGTTGTTATTTAGCTTTCCATCTCGCATACTCATAGATTCAATTTACTGATGCCAGTTGGCCTGCATCTTATGATGATGTAGACGCGGGTATCCAGGATCAGCATCCAGCACGCCGTTGATCCAGCTGTGCACTCCAGAGTCAGTGGTAAGCCTCCTTGCCTTTCGGAGGACTCTGTTATTTTGTGTTCCTAGTTTTGCTTTATTAGGATGTTGCGGGGTCTGTCCAAACATCCATCTCAGTGTTATTGAGGGTTGATAGACAGTCAGTCAGTTAGTATTGAGTCTCTCATCTATGTATATATATAAATATCCTATTTTGAGACACGAGTTGCCTTATTGGCCAATTTTCATCAGTTAGGTGGTTTTATGACCTTTCATTGCATGGAGTTATTCTGTTGAGTTAAGTTTTCCGCTGAATTAAGTAAGTCAGGCCAAGGGTTCGCTTTGGGTCAGCAATGATCTTTGAGTGCCGGTCCCACCCAGGGTGTAGGCTCGGGGCGTGACAATTCACGAACCTATAATAAATACTATTTAATTAAAAGTCTTTTCTTGCAAAAACTTTTGTACTATAGGTTGAGTTTCTTTTGGTCGAAAAGATATGCCCTCATAAACTACTTTCACTTGGAAAACATTTGTGAGACATTAATCAAAAAGGTGAAATCACCAATTCAAGATAGAAGAGAAACATTCTTGAAAGCTACTTAGTTGTGTGGCTTAGTTGAATCCCGAAGATATAGTAGTTAATTATTCTTCCGATTGCTCGTGGGAGAGACTCCAACTATCTTCAAGAAACGTATTAACGTGCCTCTAAGCCAAGCAACTTTTGTTTTGGATTCCTTATTTTTTATCTTTATTGTTTAGTTGTTCTAACAACATCAAGTAAGGAAATGAGGAGAGGCATAAAAGTTCTGTTGGTATATATTATGGATGGATTGCTAGATGATTCACAAGTACATACTCATCTATACTTCTACTCTCTAAAAATAATAACCATTTTAATATCCAATATATAATCATAAATATGGGATATTGGTGATGTGCAGGATTGTTTGTAAGAGTTCAAAGCAAAAATTGTTGGCATACTCAATAAAGATGAGTCGTGGTATTCGTCTAGCAAAAAGTGCAGCAAAATAGTGAAAGTTATAGAATATATTCTTTCTTGTAACAATTGCAACAGTGAGAATGTAGAATATGAAATGATATTAGACTTAGTAAAACCTCGATTCTCCATTTACTAATTAGAAAACAAATTAACTTTAACTTTTAAATGACTCCCCTTTTAAACAGATACTGCTTACGACTTGAAGTGTGTGATGGAAAACAACGTGCCCGAGTTATACTATTTGAAGCTACTAAATATTTACTAGGTTGAAGTGTGCAAGACCGACATAGAATCAACCTCAGTAAGATATGAATTGTATTTATACTTAAACACCTTAACGCCCAATGGACTCCTCCGCATAGGTATGTTGCCTAATTCATCTTAACTTTTACAGTTATCTTATTGTGATACTTCATAGCACAAAAGAGAAGAAAAGAATTACCCAATTACATAAACATAAAAGTTGATGATTCTGTTAATTTTATACATTAGGTTAGTTTTGAAAGAAAATGCGGCCATCATGCCGCTGAGAAAACTGGACCCCAAAAATGGCTTATCCAATGGGACATGGTTGATTTGTAGAGGCTTTGACGAGAATGTCATACATGCAGAAAAATGACAGATCAATATGCCACAAACCAGATGTTTACTCCAACAATACAACTATCACCCCCCGATTTCCCCTCGCGAAAATTAAGGATACCCTTTCAAAAATATTCAGAAAATATTTCCAATACGTCTATGTTTTTGCAATGATGATAAATAAAGTTAAAGGTCAAATGATGTCAAATGTAGGAGTATACCTACCACAAAATGCTTTCCTGCATGGAAAAGTATGTGTTGCACTATATAAAGGAATATCTATGCCAACAAAAAATGTGCAGGACA